CATGTCAAGGGCCGAGTGTTGACTATCTTCTGGTTTATATTTCATTTTAATACAATTAGGACAGTTAAAAACAGTTTGTGTGCATTCTTTTCCACAATGATCCGTCGCTCCACATTTGTAGCAAGATTGTGCTTCTTTGCAGTGATTTGAAATGTGTCCAAATCCGGCACAGTTATAACACACAGCCAAATTCAAATGTTCATGTACAAAAACTTTCATTAAATCAAAGTTTACAGTACCTTTTTTTAAAAACCATTTAGCTATCGACGGTTGCGCTTCCAAGATCTAATTTTCTTTTGCTGGATTTCGACATCTTCGCTTAGCTCTGACTTTAATATTTTCTCTCACATTAGTTGTGGGGAGATCGGTTTCAATTTCGCTATTTAATCTAATAAGTTCTTCAATATATTCAGTATCCGAGTACCCCTCTTTCAAAATTCCAGTAATCATAAACATTGGGTTAAGGATTTGTGATTCCTTAATCTTTATATTATTTTTGTTCCCTAATACTTGTCTTAGTTTCTTCTGCTGAGTTTCATTGCAGCTCTCTATTATTATTGCTCCATTTTTCAATTCTTTTATATTTTTAAATCCTCCGTCTGTATCCTTAATAGTAATTTCCTTTTTAAGCTGTCGAAGTGTTTGTTTTGAATCAACTACTTTATCTATACGAACTATAGTTTCTAGCTTTTTAGATGTTGTTGACGTCTTCCAAAATTCTTCGTTTTTCTCTACTGATGCTGTAACCGGTGATATTTGCGATGATTGTGCTACTGCAGCATATGTTTTCTGCCGTGTTAGTATGGTTTGTGAGGTCTCTTCTCTTTTACTTTTTTCAGTAGCATTTTTAGTATATATATATCTTGTAGTTGCAACTTATGCTCCAATGAATTTTTCTCTTGTTCTAATTGTCCAATTTTATACGCGATTAGAGATAAGTTTTTGTATATAGTTGTTGTAGCCGTTCTTACTATATCTTGTTTTCCTTTATTTGTTACTCTTTCTATATCATCCAGTGCGTCAATAATGTCCATTATAAAGGAAATAAATTATACCGTCGGTGTACCGAAATACAGAGTCTATTTTACTAGGTACTCCTGTAAATTGTTCTGTTATGAGAGCGGTACTTTTAGGTAAAAACCGACAATCGTCAATTTCGCTAAACATATTATTATCGAAAAACCAGTACGTTTTACCACGGTACGAATTGACGACCCCTCGTATGGTTGGATAATTCTGCATAAGAACATTATAATGCTCACGTTTAAGTAGCCTAAACGAGGCGTATTCGAAAATATAAACCATACTTGCAACGAATAATACAATTTCGTTATCTGGTTTTTGATAAATACCCGATATTTTTTTCAAAAGGTGTAGGTAAAAATGTTAACCAATCAGTTATTACAAGCGGTGTATCTGGAATTTCCCTAGTGTTTAAATTTAACATCCATACGTACTTTTTATAAAACAAATAGAGCTTATTATTCACGACTAGAAACGAAGTATTTGACATCTTAGAATTTAAAGCGCATAATTTTGGAACTTTTAAATTGATTCCTTGCGTGCTCGGTGTTGGGATAGTCGTTGTCTTCGTGGTTCTCACCGTTGTCACTACCGGTTTGGAACCGTATAATTCTTGAATTGCCAATATATCATCCTGCGACAGTTTCGTTGTGTTTTCAAACAACAAAGACGGGTACATTATAGATTTGTCGTTTGCAGAATGCGCTATACCAAGGACATGACCTATTTGATGTGTTAAAACTCTCAACAGGCTTGTAGCGCCTTCCGGGACCGGTTCCTCATCCAAATACCAACTTAACCTTTTTTGTATGTGAACTTCCTCTGTCGTGGACATTAAATCGGGGAAATAGGCATGCCCTAGTATCATTCCAGATGTTGGAAACGGACACCAATCCCTATTATTAATTCTTTAGAATGTATGGTTTGCTTCCGTAAATGAAATCACTATATTTACAGCATTATTTTTTGAGTACGGGTTGATATACTCAAACTGTAAATTGCTATTGGCGGACCACATTTCGAAAGCCTGTCTCGTTATTCCTACATATTTTTGTCTATGTGGAAGATATGCGGTTGATGGAGGGTAAACTGTCCACTTTAGAATATTAGTATTCCATTTTCCTTGTTTGCTATTACGAAGGGTATAGTAATTATCAGAAGTTCCACACCAATACCTCTGTATAAAAGAAACGGTTTGGGGGTTCAATGTTCCATCCTCTGGCAGATTATATATAGCTTGAAATTCGCTTAAACCCTCAGCCAATGATTCTAGGTTCTGGACGTCTGCTGATTCGTCATTATGAAAATAACCGTGAAATCGTAAGAAAGTCTGGACTTCTTCTTGTGTTAGCTCACCACTTGCAGGGTGAATAAGCACAACAACCACTGCCACTATCGCTAAAATAACGTACATGTTGTTCAGACAAGATTAGACTGTCAACTTAATGTAAGTAGTTTGTTAACCATCATATATACGGGTTTAAGGTCTATATATCACTTCTAAACGTTCAAGCTCCCTTAAAATCTTGAAAATATCCTCTTTGTTTCCTTGGGTCTGATCCAATACATATAGTCTATCAACCAGTTCATTAATGTCGTCGTATTCCAGAGGAGGAGAGTTATCGCTTAAGAGTTGTTCGTTTATATCATCGTATTCCAGAGCAGGAGAACTATTGTTTAAGACTTGTTCGTTTATATCACCATAATACAGAGGAGGAGAACTATTGTTTAAGACTTGTTCGTTTATATCATCGTAATCCAGAGGAGGACAATTGCTTACTTGTTGTTCGTTTATGTAATCATATTTTAAAGGTATATCCTGACTTCCTTGTTGTTTCACAGTACGTTTTCTTCTGCCTTTCTTCCTTGCTGGTGGAAATAGTTTAGAAATAATATTTACATATTTCCAGCTTTTGCTTGAATTAATGTGTTTATCCTGATTAAACTGACGTCTATGCGCGTTTGTCAATAACAATATAAACTTATAATTCTCTAAATCTATTTCGGAGTACTCAGTAGGATGCGATTGAGTAAGAAGATTCAATAATCCTTTCGTCAGTTCAAATTTTTCATCTTTAATCGCTAGATACCCATCATCTTGAACTTTAACTGGTTCGTTACCGATAAGCAGACGTTTGTTCGCTCTTCTAATACCAAATACATTTTGGTTTGGTATATCCAAGAGTTTTAACCTACAACGTTGTCGTTCCATGATCGATGACGTACTAATGATACCTTTCATAAGAATATATAGTATTTATACCCAACACAACAGTAAAGCAATAGGAACACTACAGTAAAGCAACAGGAACACGACACTAACGCAACACGAACGCAACACAGGCCCGATTAATGGGATCTGATTGAAACAGACCTGATTGAAACAGACCTGATTGAAACAGACCCGATTGAACGGACCTGATTGAAACAGATCTGATTGAAACAGACCTGATTGAAGGGCTCTGTTGGGCCAGTTCACCTAACTTTGCCTGAACGACTTTTATCCATTCAAAACGTATATCTCTCCCTTAATGCTAGCTTTAAAATTAATTAGCGATGCTACTGGGTAATTTAACAAAAATATAATATGGGAAAATTGATAATAAAATAATTTTGAATATATACAGTGTGTGAAAAAAAAACAGTATATAGCGATAAAAGCAATACGTGATGATTCGTCACAATCGTTCGGTTTTAGCGATAAATATTTAAGTAAAATAAAATAAATCAAACTTGGTGCTAATACATGTAAAATTAAAAAAAGGTTTAATCAGTTCCTGTGGTTTTCCTGTGTAACAGCAATGAGATCATATTTTTCTACAAAAATTCTAGATCAATTTTAACAACATCGTGTGGTTAAACCACAATCGTATTTTTTGGGTGGTTAGACAATTTGGTCATCTAGCGGATGTTGTGGTTTTTGAAAGGAAATAGCGGTTAGCTGAACGCATAGTTCGTGACGCCGTGTTTTTAATACACTCTCTGCTAGAGGTATGAGTAGCGCCATCTATTAGAAATAGTTAGTAGCGGTGGTAATTATCATTACAGAAACCGCGTATAAGAAAACCGCTGTAATTACTTGTTATCTTTTTTAATAATAATAAAGGCCTCTCACAACTCTCAGATTTTCTATGCTTAGCAATGGTTGAAGGAAATAAAGAAAAAAAAGGTTTGTTTAATAATTCTTTATTGATAAATATAACAAACGTATTAGTACAAACATTACAACGAATCTTTATAACATAAGTGTTAGTATAAAATGCTAATGTTTATCTGTGTCGTCTCTAGAGGACTACTTTTACTAAAAGACAGATAATAAAAGTACGTTGCTGTTGTGGCGGATGCGCCAGACTATTTTATAAATATATATAATTATCCTAATAACATTCGTGTTTATGTAACATTATTTTCTATACACTATGTATAAAAATATATTAATAATATACGTGACAGTATAAAATGATAATGCTTATCTACAACGACTAACTAAAGAACCTAAATCTAATATACAAGTACAACTTGTATAGTAAACATACAAATACGTTAAAAGTAACATTATTTTCTATACACTATGTATAAAAAAATATAACAAAAGTCTATATAATGTGTGTTAGTACAAATAAAATATAAAAACATGATTTTCTACATAACCTGTATAAGATTTAAACCCTACATATTTTAATGATAAAACAATTAGAACTTAACTGAAATCTAATATAGGTTTATATAAGTACATCCTGTATAGTAAACATACAAATACGTTAAAAGTAACATTATTTTCTATATACCCTGTATAAAAATATATTAATAATAGGTATACGTGATAGTATAAATTAGGGTACAATTATTATAACTACAAAAACACTACATATACAAAACTATTATAATTAAAAGTATGAACTAAATACAGTTTTTCTCAATGTCTAGCTTTTTTAAACCCGAACGGTAATGAACCACCTTCCTCGTCGAATTTCCGTTTAGTTGAAAGCGGCCTTATAGAGCTTTGTCTGTTGTGTGGTCATAACTTTATGCTCCCCAGTTCTCCGTATCTGTTTGTATATTATTGGGACAGGTTCGGGCTCTTCTGTTAAAGCCATAGATTTTATGGTTTCAAAATTGATGTTTTGAGAGGCGTTGTAGTTTAGGGAGAGGCCTTTAACCTTACACGTTATGAAATATTCCCCGGTTTTAGGAGAATATACCTTATACGCATAGTTCTTAGGACCTCCCGACACAAACTCATCAATGTAACTACCCTCACCATATCCTTCTAATTCATCCGTCATTTCACCAAGGAAATTTCCAAGTGGGATATCTTCTTCTTGTCCTGCCTTCGATAGGTAAATAACGCTATCCGTGTCCGTGTAAATAGCGTTATCACCGACTTTTTCCAGGTAACTATAAAGCTTCAGCCGGGCTTGGGCCGTGGTGTATGCGGCTAAACATACATTTACTGTTGGTAAAACATCGTAGGCTTCATCTCTAAATGACCAGTTTACTAGCAGGGTGTCGTCATACCATTACAAGGCGTAATATAATGAAACCTAAAATCTAAATCACATTGTAACTACTGAATCGACATAAATGTTCTTAATAATGTAACCACTAAATATAGTCTGTACGATATTATTTAAAATGTACGTTACTGTTTAAGACTGAAAATATTTTAGATGTTACATGTAAAACTAGAACTTAAATATACACTTAGCTGTTCTTTTATGTAACCTTGCTTCAAACAGTAGCAGCGTGAGGTGGTCTAGCATCTCTGTACTGTCTGTCGGCGATCCTGTTGGTCAAAACAATAAAAGGGGCCAGATTGAGGACACCATGAATCCTTACAGCCGTAGCTACTGACTAGGCTTAGAAATGGGAGTGAAACAGCATGGGACTCAAGCTACATCCACGCTGTGGCACTTAGATGTAAAAAAAATCGTTCTTACTGGGGACACTCGTCCACAGGACATCTGTATATAAGAGAATGTCTGTACATAAGGCACTACCCGTACCTTGGACACAGTCCGTACCTTGGACACAGTCCGTATTGTTCACAGGCAGTATGGAGTTGACATCTGTTGCAGGGTTAGATAACATGGAAAACAACACTTCTGGTTTATTCACAATAGTTGTCTTTCCCTGGTTTTCCCTCTGACATAACTTGCCCCAAAACGATGTGATGACCGCTTTTCCAAGCTGCCTAAGACCAGGATTTACAGAAACCTTTTCCGGGTTTAGTGTAACGCCCTCCTTTTCCAGGTATTCACGTACGTATTGGTCTTTGGATTCGGGCGTTGTACAGTATGAAGGCTAACCTGACGCCTCCTGTTTAATTTTCAGGAATTTACTAATATATCCGTTGAACAAACCCCCTTCTTTCGTCTCCGGATTATATTGGGTTACCTTATATTTCCAGATTTCCTGAATGTCTAAAATCTTATAACCTTTTTCCAGCGCCTTCACTACTTCATCAATAACCCAAGTACCGTTAATTGTCCTTTCTTCATCGCTATGACTACACTCTTTAGCCCCGACTTTACCGCACGTGTAACACAACACGAACATGAGTTTATCGTTCAGTTTTACCGGTAATACGGGGTGAATCAACTGTTGAGGCGGTAGAATTCTGCATTTAATCAGTCCGTCTGTCTCGCGTAAATTAAGTTTAGAACACTTTTCACTACCGACGATAACTTCCGGATGTCCTACGGGGTACTTTCCGTACTTGTTCACCCACGGGTAAAGCGAGCAAACGTCGACGTATTTGATTTGTTCTCCGTCCCGGCACTTGTAGTACGTTTTCATATTTTCCGTGCGACCCCCGTAAAAAGCGTCGCGTGGATTTAGCGGTAAGTTTACGAGTCAAGGATGGTCTTCGGTATATTGGTTGATTTCATCGTTCATATCACGGCGGAAATCGCACTCCCACATCTCGATAACCTCGTAGCCTTGGTCCATTAAATGCTGGGTTTTAGTAACTGTATTTTCGTACCGGGAATCCAATGTTTGTGTAGGATCGTCTTTGAGCGGTACCTGTCTCTCGTACTTGTAACATCTAGGGCACCCGTGGTAATAACAGCCGTGAAACTCAAACACTTGTTTTGTTTTTTCACAGAACCCGTCTACTTTACATCCCGCAACAATACTTTCTTGCTGCTTTGCAGCATGTACAATTTCAACACCTCTTTCTTTTTCCTCCCACAATTACCACTGGAGAGCGATCTTGCTTTGATTGTCGCATAACCTGTACCCGTTTTTCGGAATGATACCTATAGTTTCGGGCTGGAGAAAATTGCGGCGGAAAATCTTGTTGCATGTGCTAGGTAGTGTTGAGGCTTCTGTAAACGGGCATACGTTCCCCTCGTCTATCATTAACTTTCTGAATTTCAGAGAAGCTTGCGTGAGAATGTCGACATCAGATACGCAATATTCAACAAGCTCTTTCTCGAAATCGAACATGTAGCTCTCCGCTACACGTTCCTCGTACCATTTAATGAACTTTTCCCTATCTTCAACCTTCATATTGTCGGGATCATAATACTCAATAGGAGGCATTGGTCCCACATATTTTTGATGTCCCACGGTATTGAATAAGTGGGGAAAATAACCTTTCTTCAGCTCTGTCAATCCGAATGCTTTAGGTAGTTTGGATAGCGCCATAGGGAAATAATTGAGGGAGTCCAGGAATTTGACGTTACCTACAGACATGAGAACTAACTTGGTATAAGTTCAGGTGTTAGATCTGTTTGTTGGAGAATGTAATCTAGGGTAAATTGATGGTCAAACCCTCCGCCGTTGTGCGCTATCACTGTAACATGCTTGAACTGCTTTCTCAATTCTAGAATGTCTCTTAATAATACCGATATTACATTGTCTTTTATCACTTTTTGGCGAACACCACACTTTTGACATATATTAATGTTTTTGTCAATACACATGTCACATAATTTTCTATATACACAGAGATTAGGTTCATGAAGTAAACTACCATCTTCCAACTTCTTTTCCTGCCTTGTTTCCAAGTCGTAAAAAATAAACAATGTGTTTTTAATGCTGGGACACCCTGTATCCTGCTGCATGTAACAATGGTGCGGTTGCGGCTGGTGTTTCTAGCAAACGCTACAATACTTTTCACCGCAAGTATGCAATCTATCTGCTTTTACGACGATGAGGCACGTTGGGCATTTCCTAAAACTTTTACATACCGAACCTTTGCCAGCCGATCCAAGTTTCTTATGGTTCTCGAAACATCGGGGTCCTCTGAATAAACGTAAACACTTGGGACATTTCATTTTCACATTGTCTATTGGGCAGGCTGGAGATTGTTGACACCCCGCGCATGTACCACCACACCTATGTTTGTTTATTATTGTAAGGAACGTTACACTCTTCGCAATAGTAGTTACAACAAAACGCCGCTGTCAATGATGTTACCACGTTGTAGTGGTGTTGATGATAAAGCAAATTCAGTTTTTTGGGTTTTTCTTCGCCTTTGTATACCAGGTCGCGTCCTTTAGAGCCGTATTGGTACATTATAATTTGGTAAGACATCAAATATTGCTGGAATTTCTGTAATTCGGGGATGCCAGCCCCCTCTGCTGGAATAGTGACACCTGCAGCCCCCACTAAGGCCATGGTCTTCTCAGTTTTGACTTTTCCTGTATCCTTTCTTATCTTATTGTAAATAGGATCCTTATCAGCGTGCGCAATAGCCACAATGAGAGCTCGAGGAAGACACAGATTGTCCTTGTTGTTGTTTATCACCACAATGCCTTTACGCATCCCGCACTCTTCCATAAATGTGTTGTATTTACCGCCCCTTCCGCGTCCGACTCGCATTTTCACACTAGTAACACCAAGACAGAACGTCTCGGTGTTTAGTCCTGTACTATTTGACTGGTATATGGAAGATATTGTCTTCCACACATCGTCAAAAGTTACATCGCTAGCCGGCTTGAAATTCATCCAGCCCTCGCCCCTTGCGAAATCTTTGGAGCAGAAGTTGAACCCAACCTGGTCGTTTGGGCCTACGCCCTCGGTCCCTTTCTTCAAAATGTCTTCTACAGCCCCCTTCACCCAATTCATGCGGTCCTCGCCTTCCGGGACCGGTTTAATTTTAAATTCGGTTTTACGTCCGGTAAGACCGAACCGCGGCACTTTTTTCATGGAATCTTTAATCACAATAAATTTTTCCATTTTTGAGGTTATGTTAAACGCTGGTACTACGATGTGACACCTGCAAAGTCTCGATGAGAATTTGGAATTTGGGCTCATCGTGTCATCCTTTTTTATACCTTGACAGCTGTAGTGACGTGTGCAATGGTGCGGATGATACAGGTATTGCGCAATATTGTGTAATTCTAATTTCACCTTTACATATTTTAACGTATTTTAAACGCCCTGTAACTATAAATATTTTTATGTTTGCGATAAGAAAATACTATATGGTAGTATCCGCCGTCATACTTCCTTCAGCTGATTCACACCAAACCTAGAAATAGCGTGAGTAATTCGCAAACCGCGGGCGTTGGTTCAGTTTGTTTCTAACTTTTAACGGTACTGTATCAAGAAATTTACTGTGTATTTTGAACGTTTAGTGAAAAGGGCTTAAATGTGATATTGAAAAAGGGCATCAGTGTATGTGTTGAGTGAATGGATAATAATATCTACCCGGTGAGTACGTATTTTTAGTAATACGCTTTGTTTTTTGATTTAATACTCTTAAATTAATTTTCGTTTCGATAAATATTAAAGTTTTTTACATTACAAAGGGTTTTGCGGGTACTTGTTGTAATTTTATTATTATTTATGCTTGCGCTTATTAGTTAATTTTGAACGTTTTTTTTTACAAAGGGCTCTGATACGTGATTACTTAGAAGTAAGGGTCGTTGATTTTGACGCGTTTACGATAACGGCCGATGTTTACCGAAGGGCTCAACCTTCAACAACAACAATATTGTTATAAAAAATTTTAAATAAGGACTACATTTATTTTTGTATCAGTCTTTAAGCGGTGTTCGTCGCGACAACACGTATGCTGCTCCCACATCCTTGTGAATTTAAATAATTTATTTAGGTACTTACCTTACGCTGCTGCTGGTGCTGGTGCTGCTGCTGGTGCTACGCCCCTTGGATGAAGATAGCTATTTTGTGGTAAGTAAATATTCTACGTTAATGTTTTATTTTTGATAAATCAATGGTGCTAATAAATTTTTAATGGGGGGCCCCCCAGGGGTGCAGGGCTAGGTATATGGCATATGGTGAATGGCGTTCGTATATGGTATTTGACTTGTGTACGAACGTCGTTCATTAGGTGATCTATACCTTTGAGACAACTTTAAATTGGGGCCCCCATATAGACATGTGTAATACAAATAATTTTAAAAGCGATTGTGGTCATGTTGATTAAGGCGTTAGCTTGGCGATCGACAGGTTCGTGGTTCAAACCCTACACCGAACTTTTTTATTAAAAATAAATTTATTTAAATATCTGTATGTCTATGGCGTCATACGCCAGGCGGATGACGTCATGCGTATCATATTAAGTTTCAGAGGTGTTGGTGACGTCATACGCCAGACGTTACGGTGGTGACGTCATGCGTATAAATTGGTTACAGTTACCCCAAGTTACAGTTACCTTCCTTATAGCGCTTGAGCTACCCGATAGGTGGCGCGCGGTAGTTCCGGAGGTAGACGTTAGATGGCGTTCGACGTCTACGTACACTGTTGCCGGATGCATAGCAATATGCGACGTTGCCAAATCTAAAAATCAGAAGATTTAGGGAAATTACATAAATTAATTAAAATTAAAATTACATAACCCATGTTATAAGATTTACATGGGTGGGTCGCTATGGACGGGAAAATTTCCCTAAATTTAGGGAAAAAATGGGGGTTGACCTTGGGCTAAGGTGGCCCCATACCTACTGATATCGAAATTACAAACATCAATATCGATTTTCTGCTTAACTTTTCTCATTTTTTTTCACATATATACGATGTTTATTCGATCACGTCTTCAGTTGTAATGAGAACGTCAAAGGGTAAAGGTCTCTTAAATAGGGCTATCAATAAATTACCATTTGAACTTCATTTACCTGGTTACCAGTATTGTGGTTCGGAAACAAAGCTTGCTAAACGATTAACCAGAGGAGATCCAGACATAAACGAATTAGATCGATCGTGTAAGGAGCACGATATCGCATACTCGAAAGAAAGGGATTTGAATCAACGACATCAAGCCGATAAAGTGTTGGAGGAAAAAGCGTGGGAAAGAGTTAAAGCTTTGGATTCTAATATCGGAGAAAAAAGTGTGCTGGTCACAAATGCAATGAAAACAAAACGAAAGCGGTGGGTATTAAACGAAAACCTTTCAAATCTTTTATTGTTAATAAAGTAGAGACATATTAAACATTATGGTAATGGTACCGTCAAGGATGATATTAAACTAGCACTGGGAGCAGCCCGCATGAGTGTTAAACAAGCTGGTGGTAGAAGAAAAGTTAAAGTACTCAGAGTTATACCAGTACCTAAAGTCGGAGGAATTTTACCTCTTATTCCGCTCTTCGCAGGTCTAAGTGCTTTGGAAGCCCTTACCGGATGCGCCGCTTCCGTTGCTAAAGCTGTTCAAGATAGCCGAGCGGCAAGAGATAAATTAAAGGAGCCTCAACGACACAACGAAACCATGGAAGCCATTGGGTTTGGTAAAAGAGGAAGCGGAAGGAGAAGCGGACCTTGCCAAACACAAGACAGGATATGGATTATTTCTTCGGAAGCAAACGCCAAAAAACTACCAATAAAGCTAC